TTTCTTTACTGCATTGTCTTTCAATCTGCCAAATTTATAGTCGACTATGCCGCATTTACTAAGAAAGCGGCCTGATCACGTGCAATACTTCATTCCACTAAGATAAAAACGCCATGTCCAAACACTCTCTACGCAGCTTTGCGGACCTTTAATGCTACATTTTCCTTTTGCTTGCCATTGATAGACCAGCTCATGAGGATCATTTGCCTTAGAAATACGGCTTAAAAGCAGTCTGCTCTACCTGAGAACTACAGCAGCAGAAAATGTCTCTCTCCTCAATATTATCACTGTTTTTCCCAATCGCATAGGCCAGAAAACATCCCACATCTCCTAAGGTGAAAAGCAAGCTCCTGCTATAGTTTTAAGGCAGCATCATTAGCAGGTTTCACAGAACTCATGTAACAAGCTACTCTATACCGTCTCTAGCTCTTTGAACTAGTAGATACTGTAAAGGTACCTGCTTCAGTGACCAGAGTAAAATAGGTAGTAGTGATATAAAGTCACTATATCTTCTAATGTGAAAGCTCAGACGGACTGCTGTCTCAGCATTACTGTTTTTTTCCAGGTTAACACATCGGAGAAGTTTCAAATAAATCCACTACCTTGTACCATAAGTCTGTATAAAATATTATGAAGTAGTTCAGTTTATGAACTATGTTTGAGGTATTAATTACAATCCTGTCTAAAACTGTGTGTGCACGTGTCAGTCTCCTGTTCAATTTCACTTCTTACCTCTAAAGCACTTTGCATTCGTTCCTTACTTGAAGTATTTCTCTTGAAGTTATTTAAGTTCACTGCTTCGGTCCAGCTGTCGTATCCAGCACCATACAACAGGCTGTCATTGGGTAACAAAGTCTCTGCCCAGAGACGACAGACATTATCCTTAGAGCAAGTCAGGAGTACGTTGCAGACAGCACCACTAACGAAAGAAAATATAAGGTGTAAAGATGTCACTTCCATCATACAAAAAAAAAAAACAGTATCACAATAAAATAAAGTCCATCAAAATAAAACAGTAGCAAATGATTTCCAACGTCGGTATTCAGAATTATACAAAGTAACTTAGATACTAAGGAAAGAAAAACTCAGCAACATACTTTTGAGCAACTGGACAAATAGCCTTAAAAAAAAGATTCAGCCAAGAACTATAAACGAGTCATACATGATAGGCTTTGACAGCTATTCAAGTTTCTCAATATGAACTACTTCAGTTGTATAGTAAGTTTGACATACACTTACTTTACAACCCTAAATCTTGGGTTCAGTTTGCAGAAGTAGTAAGAACATAACGTAATCATTTTCTGTACTCCTTTTGTTATTTATCCAGATCACACTACTACACAGTATTTGCAAAATTACATATCCAAACCAGAACAAAAAAATATATCAGGAATACAACTGCAAATCTTAAACGCCAAACTTCTCTAATGGCTACTCTTCTAAATAGAATTTGTGGTACACATATATCCAAAAGTCCCAATTAACCTCAACTAAGCTCTGCAAAAACTATACCTATCCTCAGATTTCCAGCCTGTATAAGTTTACAAGTTAGTTTTAAGCTAAGACTCTAAAAGGAGGTGGAACATCTGACAGTACTGTCCACCAACAAACTCTTAGGCGTCATAGCATGAGTGCATTTTCAAAAATCAATTTAACGACTACTTCACTGGTTTTAAGAAGAGTCTCCTATTTAAAGGCTGGTATAAGAGACAGCATATATTTATCCAACACACAACGGTAGGGAAAATTCAAATGGCTACTGATTGGAATATTACTTATGGCATTAGGAAGCTCACAGGCCACAGAATTACAGTTTAGATCAGGTTTCACAGGAAAATAAATAAAACCACCCACCTCCCCCACAAATTAGAGCGCTTCTACAGACGAAGCTATTGAAGCAAATAGAAAGTTTTGTTAAAGTGCTCTCCCCTCCCCCTGGACAGTTTACAACCTTCAAGCTGTTAGAGCTACTGACCGTGGCATGAATTTGCTGGTCTTCCTCCATGAAAAAGCATTTACTGATCGAGGATGGGCCAAATAAACAAATGAAAAATCAACTTCTTCTGCTTGTTTTCCTGGACTCGCACCAGGAGGTGTTACAGCTGATCGCCAACTGTCTGCATTGTACCATACTTTCACAAGACAATCATCCTGAACAACAACAAAGAACAAATAAAAGCATGTTTACTAAGTCGTCCAGCTTCCAATTGAAGAATCAAATGAAAGAGAACTAAGTCTGTTGACATAGACCCTATGCGTTTCTAAGTACCAAGTACTGCCGATATTTCTCTCATTTTTCGTTTTCCCTTCTAATCTGTCTTGCCATTGCTATATTAGTTTTCATTTTGCAGTTTCTGGTTAGGTGCCAATTTTCAGAGAATATTTATTTTCCATAATAGCTACAAAATCTCAAGCTATACTGGATCAAGCTCGCATTCAAATGCTAACAGAAATGTTAACTTATTGTTGTACTTTGAGAGAAACCCCTCAAAAAAAAAAAATCTACGCATACAGTTTCAAATCTTCGGAATATAAACAAAGGTCAGAGATGACATCTCAAAAAAAAAAATAAATCAAGCTCACTACTTGGTAACCCACTTTTCTTAGATATGCACACACACACTTTTGAACAATATGGACTTAATGTCCCTATCATTATATGTCTAAAAGGACTAGGTAAGCTAATGTAGATATAGATTTGCAAGTTGTCCAACTATTAAATACGGATGGCACTGAAATATTGTATTAACTTTGGTACATTTAACATGACCCAAATAGGAGCTCGTTTTGCTTTGCTGACCAGCATCCTCTTCGATTAAAAAAAAAAAAAAAAAAAAGGCATCAAAAGCATTCAAAAGATTCTGCACCTATGAAATTAACCTAGTCACGTAAATATTTCTTTGTTAATTTTCCTATTGATTTAGTTACAGTAATAGTGCTTTCCTTGAGTTTATAATGTAATATAACACAATAGGACACAAAATATTTCAGTCATAAAAACATTACAAGGATAGCATGCCTACAGGAGCCATTTGTAGACTAATTCATTTTTTCCCAATTCAGTCATACTGCAACTTCATACTTGGACTTTAAAATAAGTATAATCACTATCCATCAAAAACACTATACTGATATAATATATGTTGCGAAGAATGAAAAAACCACTAGGGTTTTGGGGTTTTGTTTGTTTGTTATTTTGTCAAGACCTGTATTTGAACAAATTTATAAGTAATAGTTACTCCAAATATGATTGGAATAATTCTTCTTTCAGCCAGTAAACGGCTAAAGACATCAAGGGACATATAGCAGCTATATGATATCCTGAACAAGCAAAACAGGGAATGTAAGAACTTCTTGCTTCTTTATTATACAGAGCATAGTTCAAAGTCTGGTACTTCACATTCATGTGTTGGAAATAAATCAATTGGAATATATTTTACCTGGAAAAAAAAAAATCTACGAGTTATTTTTACAGGTTTAGCTCATTTGTTACATCTTTCTCTCTTCCTTAAAAATAGCAAATGCCTTAAGAGTTATAGCCCTCTAAGCAAGCACTATGACCCAAAGTGGCAAGCATAAAGGAAACAATCTACAAAAACGCAAAACAGATGTCATTCACCTGTTCTTGATGCATACAACTGGTTCACAGAAAAGGCATGACAAGACTGCCTTTTAAAAGCAGGACTTAGTTGCAACTTGAACCATCCCTGAATCTCTGTGCTTCAAGCATATATTAGGGGATGTTATGTTCCGAACAGCAAAAAAAAAAAAAAAAAAGAAACCAACAACAAAAAAAACCACATACTACTACCAGGTCAAACACTGTTCTAACTGATCCTTATGTGCGCATACTAATTTTTCATTCACATTTTCAAGACAGACTAAAGCAAAGTGCATGATTAATTTTGATTCTCACATCTGAAAACCTCATTCATGGTATCTCTTTGAATTCTGTGAAACTGATACTTAAGCCAGAGCTTTCCATTACTCTCAGCAATTGCACCATCCCAATGATCCTTACTACTACCATTTTGTTTCCTTTTCAATAATTCCGCAGCGTACGCTACATTCTTTAGTTGACAGCATAAACTTGATGCCTGTCTGCATCTGTTAACCTGTGTAAAGACTGCTTATAGAATAAGGTTTTTATTTCTGCTTTAAAAATCAGTAATCCTAACACATGATTATTTTCTCCACAACCTACTTTGATAATTCCATAAATTCTCACAAGAGGATTCAAAAGGTTCTTACCAAATCTTTTTGACCAATATCAGTGCGAATCTTCCCTCAAAAATAGTAGTATTTGCAGCAACAAAATATTCAGTTACATCCCTTCACAAGTAATAGAAATTCTCATAGGAATTAGTCATTTTTTTCATTGTATTCTCTACACCATCCTGATATTCCCTGCTTTGAACTGTTACGATGTTATTCTCTTACAAAAACCGAATAACTTTCCTAGTACAAATAAAAGATTGACTTGTTAGTGTTTTAGGAAGTCAAAAGATACGATGGTGACACTATGTTTTAGCCTTTTTATTTATTTTGCAAAGGCATTTTATTGCTTTTGCAGATAAACCACTCATTGCTGAGCGCACCAAATGAATCTGTAAGATTGGCCACAAACACTGACATCAAGTATGTGGGAATACACGACTGGAGGGGAACGTGAATTCTCTTATTAGGTATACACAGCTAGGCATACAAGTATATGTACAGTGAAAAAAGTGAAGAGCTATTTTTGAGTTAGAGTATCACAATATTGGGGAAATATTGAATATATTTCCTTACCAGCTGAATAACCAACACCTAACTTTTGCAGTTACTTCATTCACAGATCTCCCCCCACCAAACTACTCACTTTCTGATGTCTTATATTTTGGTACCGAAGTGTCACCCATTCAAAGCAGATTTTTTAAAATTATTTTTCAGTGAATATTTAATTTTTTTGCTGCTGAATTATCCTTCTCTCAAATTCTCATGTGCCAAAATGTAAAGATGCATAAAGGGATTACTGGAAATACTGAGCTTTCTCTCTCTCGCTCACACATTTTTTTTAATGTTTACCTTTCCAGCAGTGGCAAAAAATTCCCCATCTGGTGAGAATTTCATTAAACAAACTTGAGAAGCAGTTCTGCAAAATAAAGAAAATTAAAAATAAAAAATAAGTTTTAATACTTTTTCAGAACTCTAAATAGTTTTTTCCCTTTGAAATTATCAAAGTACTTCAATTCTTATATGTAACTGCCTGCTGTATTGTGTGAAACATTTAATTTAAGCTTTAATAAAAGTCCAGAGAGGCTAGCAGTAAACTTAGGTAGAACATTGGGTTGTGGTCAAAAAGAAGAAAAACTCAGGAAACAGAATGCCCAGTGTTCCAATATTTTATTAACAAAAAGCAGCTGCTAAAGGATTAAACCCGAGTGCTTTACTCCAAACACGCTCTATTTCCACTTCACAAGTCTTTCAAACTGTGCTCTGCCAGTCTGTATTATCTTCCAACTCACCTTTTGTTATACTTCCTGCACAGCTATAACCCAAGAACAAAAATGTGTAAAAGAGTAACTTGGTTAGGAAGCATTTTAAAGCAGTTTTTAAAGCAATGGTCACACTGGTAAAAGGTGCCACATCAAAATAATCTAGTTACACGGTTCATTTCTGCTGTGTTTTATTTTCTTTAGAAAACACTGATAAGTCTGCCTCTTTACAGATTTTGAAGCACTGAGAACAGGGTGGTCATCAGAATTTCACCGTGCAGCACAAATCCAATATAAATCTTAATCTTGATTTATTAGACATGCCTAAGAAGTTGTAAGGCCTAACTTTTGAGAACAATCAAGTTAGCCATCAGGTCAATGAAAGCACGATGCACTTAGCATGTGCAATAACAACAACAAATCAATTACAAAATGTGGGCAAAGAAAGGCAATTTCCAATTCTCAGTTTAAGCAATAGCCTCCTAGCAGAGCCAACATTAAGACATTTGGGAATGCCTATTCAGACGTTAAAACTGATTCAGACAAAGGTCAGTATTTCAAAATTCACCATCCTGCAAATTCTTCATTAAGAAAAAACTTAGTTTAAATTTAACAGAAGTACACATTGTTATATTTGCACTAGAAAACATACAGGCATAAAAGGTGACTCGACAGAGCAAATTCTCTTGATCTTTTCCAGGACCCACTAGTTCAAAGTGCACAAAACCAAGCTTGCTCTCCCTATCCCATGAAAAGAATTTGAGAGAGGAACAAGGAAAGCTATGAAACGAAGTCTGTTTGGACCAGTGATACAAATGCAGAACATACTATTGAAGGTTCAGAAGAAAAGCAGTATCTGTACGATCTTGACTACTAGTACTGCGCTCCAAGATTGCCGCACCATAGCCATGGCATTCTGTCTGCAAGATGACTGCTTCTTGCATTAGACCGAGATGAAGACCCAATAAATAAGTCATTGACTTTTCTTATTTATAAAGTTCATCATATTCAAAGGATAACTTTTCAATTGCCACTTGGATGATCTGATCACCTGCCAAGAACTGAAGTTAGAAATGTTTTCTCTCCACAGACCTGGCCACAGCATGCCAAGCCACACAGAACTCATTCAGAACTGACTGAAAATAACAGTCGTTATCAATTGTCCTAGAGATATAACAACGTCCCGCTCCTTAAACATTTACTGGAAAGTTCACCTACAAGCTTGAGGAATTTATCAGGAGGTTATCCAAGTGTGACTTTGATTTGTGATAACTTATCACTTACATGAGAAAGTTAGCAGACATGCAAATTAGTTATTAAATCCACTCCCTTCCCAAACACTTGAAACCTGTTTTATTAAGCGTTTGCAAACTGAGATGGAGAGAAGAACACCTGAATATAGTTCACAGTTGAAAAAACAGAACATACACCAGCAGTCCACTGAAGGATGAGAGAAGACTGGGCTTGAAGCTGCCTTTCTGCCTCACCCAAACGGCAACTCTGATTACTTCGAAGGCCTATGCCCCAATATCAGTCACATGACAATCTCAGCACTTCAGCTGCCTATGTATGTGATCTTGAGCTGCCTACAGATATGAGAAAGAGCTAAAAAAGATATTCAGTTGGTATCACTGGTGCATTCACAAGAACGCTTGTGGAAAGACTGTGGATTGTTCCTTGTGGAACGATTCTAAAGGAACGATTATAAGACTTTTCTAGGTATGCCCAGGGTACTACTCAATTAACATCAAGTGCTTCATGAAGAATAATTACAGGTTAGTCCCTCCAGCCAACCACTCAGTGAGACTTATTAAGGAGACTGCCATATGGAACATCAGTCCAAAGAAAAAGTCGACCCAGTATATTAGAAGTGCCTTCCTATGGCAGGGAGGGCTGTGATTTAGCTTATTAATTGAAGTACTAGACTAAAACCCTTTGACTTTGTGTGGTACACACAGATTAAAATGATTAATCAACATTAATACCATAAGAACATTCAGAGGTGCAGAATAACAGAAAGCATGAATTTTTGCATGACTGTTCCAAATATCCAGAATAAATAGAAAAAAAAGCAATGGGGGCTGCAGTGGGGAAGAGGGAGGAAAAAGAAAAAAAAAAAAAGGACATACACACAGGACACTGAAGGAAGCCTATCTCAATCGGCCCTGCAATCAGAATTTTCAAACACACTACGTTAACCCTACCTATTGTACAAGTAACGAGAAACTGGGACAATGACAAAAGGAACCTTGCCTCAGTATTTTACTAATGCTCAGTGTAATTCAAGAGTTGCTCAAAAACATAAGCTACCTCAAAAATAATCGCCACTGATCTTGCAGGAAGAAAGAAATATCATGCATCCAAGGAAAACACGATTCAAGTTTATCATACCTGAATAGTATTTACCAAAAAACAGTATACCACAAGGTTTTACTAAATTACATTACATATTTCATCTGAAAGGTATGAACCAACAAGGAAAAAAGGAATCACTTGTTTTTAAAACAGTTTCTTACTTGCATTGCCAGATACACCTCCATTCTCCAATGCCAGCATCTGCTCTTTCAGTATTTCGACTGTCAGAAGGGTTTTCCGAATAAGCGTTGGACCAAAGCTGAAGACAACTGGAACCGGTCAAAAGGCGAGTGCCTAACAATATTTACAACAATAGAACCATGAAACAAGTAAAAGAGTATAGTCTTCTATAATGAGAAATAAAAAAAATTATTTAAAAATGCAAATCTGTGACTGGCTATTGTGCAGAAAAACACGCCATAAATCTTAACCCTCTTTCTATGGCAACGTTGCTGTAAAAGCACCACTAACAGTGTAAAACCACTGCTACTACAAAACCCTTTTATCTTGAAGACGCTGACAGATTGGGTCAATCTTGCAAAAAGCCACCTTCTACTTTCCTACAATATTTTAATTTGAACAGCTACAGTTCAAACAGTCAAAAATCTATTAAACTTTAAAAGCAAGTTAGCTCTCTAAAAGAGACAGAGCTACTGCAAATGTCCCTCCTTCACAACAATATTTACCATTTCAGCCACTTTTTTGCAGTATTAGATTCTGCTTAGAGTAACGAGTAACACAATACATATGTAGCTAGTGTTTTAGCTCTCCTTTAACAAGTGACAAAGGGTAAATTTCACTCCACTTTGATATTCTGTGTTACGCTAGGAGAAAAGGAAACATTTACTTTTCCTCCAAGGAGCAAGAAAATTTAAGTAAGAAGTTAGCTGCTGTATCAAGTAGTTAGGTGCTACTTAAATTTCATTCTTACCTGTGGGATCCCATGTTAAATTATGTGCTATTGCTTCCAGTAAGATTTGAGCATTCTTCTGCCACTGATAATGTAGCCTCTGAAATTAAGCATTCACAAACATTAGTATGAAAGTTCTTAGTAGTGTTCCCCCCTCCCCGTCTATAATTTTAGAAGCATTACATCTTCACCGCACTCTCTGACTTTGACTCGGAATATACTTAAATTACAACATATCTAATAAAAATTGATCCATTCTGGTTTGTTTTTCAACAGAACATTAATTCGGTAATACAAATAGAAGCTTCTGACTTATTTTAAAAAGCTAACTTGAAAGAATCTAAGTACATAAATTCATCATCAGAAACTGAGTTTCTTAAAATGAAGTCTGATTTTATTTTGGAAAAAAAAAAAATCAAAGAAAATGAAATATATCAAATGCACCCAATGTTTTTATCAGTAGTAGGGCTGAACTGAAGGATTTGGATAAGGTTATGATAACATGTATGATATTTCCCCTTGCTCATTTTTAAAAATCAAAAACGAAACAAAAAGCAGAATGGTCAAGTGTTTTCAAATTTTGTACTACTACTTCATTCACTGAAACAAGCTGAGAATTAAACTAAGGAAATTTTTATCTGGTTTGCCTTCATAGTAAGTTCCAAACTTGTGTTACTTTGAATTACACAAGAATGAATTCATTACTGAAAATAAAGAGCCAACTTTCTTCGTTTCTCCTAATTCATAAAAGACAGGCAGTTTCAAAGTAACCCTCCTCTACTCCAAAAAATACCAAACCAATATATATGAAAGCTAATACACAACTAAGCCTTTGAGATGTGGTGAAAAACAATAAGCAGCACCTGCAGATAAGAATCTAAAAACCAATGTGTTCTTCCAGCTGGCCTTGTTTGTTTTTAAGATTCCGAATATTCTAATAAATGGAAGACAACCTTACATCAACGTAAACATACTGGAAATTATTGTTTTGAAATTACCTGTGAGAAGGAACTAACTGAATATTTCTTCAGTTACAAATACTTCTGACATTTGAAAGCAAATGATGGGAGGAAGCATGCTTCCGCAGTTTACTTAGAGTTACTACAGTAACCGTCAAGTTTCAAGGTAAGTCTTTTTTCAAGGTAACATTTTCTAGTGATATAGCAAAACACATTCAGGATGGAATTGAGGGCTCTAGTGATCAAAGAACCAACCATATTTTTAAGTGCTCATATGAGAACACAAAGTTCCATTTTACTGTTGTTTGATACTACTGCTTTCCAGTGGTATAAAATGTTATAAGCATTTAATGACATATCTTAAATATATAAAACACCACTGTTTTACAGGGACACCATGAACAATCCTGCAAATGGAATCCACTATACACCCCTATAAACAATTCTACTACTAAAAAGAGAGAGCAAGCAAGCTCCTGGAGCAACTTCTGCTGCCAGAGCCCTCATATTGTCAAGTTGACTTTAATTAGACACTAATACTTCAATTACACATACTGGCAACCCTTGCCTAGTAAGAACAGTGGTTAAATAACTTGCTGTAGATCATATCATAAGGCAGAAATTAAGATTCTGATGGCTAAATCACTAACCCACCGTCACCCAAACTAAGCCGTGCTATCAAGAGAATATTGTTCTTGTTCGTCACCACAGAACACCTTTTGAAATACAAACACTGTCAAATGTTCTACAAAAGTCATGATAAACTTTTCAAGAAGTCATCAGAATTGCAGATTTGAGCAAGAACGTGCAGTTTCCTAAACCGAGGTTAATATTTGAGTGCTAAACCACATCAGGACATCGAACATACACAAGATGACTCAAAAAGAAATTCCTACTGTAATAGCTATACTCTTCGGAGGGCAGGGGGCTCGCATGTCTTCTTAGGTTCTGACATTTTTCAGACATCAGTTGTAGGGCAAGATAAATCAGTGATATGAAGCATTATAATAAGACCCAGTATAATAAGACCTAGAAACCTGTATGTTAACTAACATACACCTGTGCCTTCCTCCTACCATTTACGCTGCCCCCGGACCACCTTATCTCTCCATTTTATTTTAGCATTAAAAGAAAACATCTTCAAAACTAAAGCAAATCAGAGAAATGAGACAAGTTTTACTACAAGGTAAATGAAATTAGAGTGCTAAATTACTTACAGTATGATGACTGCTCTTCTGATTCAAAATGCTCACTGGCTCGAAGATACAAATCACATTCCCATAAGAAGCTGCAATCTAAAACAAGTATTTATATGTACATGAATACACACAGAAAATAAGCTATAGAACAAGCAGAAGTAAAACGTGGATTGCCAATTCTACTTTTAAATCTCCTTGTAGACAAATGTGAAGCTTGTATCCATATTCCACATTTGACAATAGAAGAAAACCACATCTAGCAAAATCATGAAGCAAGTACTGATGATAACAGAACAATACAATTTTTTATTCACATATTTGTCCTAACCAGCTACTGAGACTATAGGTGGATATGCACACTTGTTAGATCTATCATCAATATTCTCTCCATACATAATTTCAGTAAATGCTCAAAGTAGTAGGCCAAGTTTGTGTGCTAAGAATAGGACCAACATCAGCTCAGAGTGGTTTTGCAGACTTCTCCAGCATGGCCACATGCTAAGTGTAAAAACTATTCCAGAAAGGTCGGGAAGTCCAAGCTAAATACCCAATGCAGAGAACTGCAAAAAAAGTAGAAGAAACTAAAGACTAACACAAAACACTTCTTTAAAAGTTGTAGTAAGGTAACAGCTTTCTTGGGTATTTCACAGTCTTATTCCATCACTGGCACCAGCTACCACAAACCTGTGTTGAGATGGAATTACGGACACTTTATCCCAAGACAACTATATCAAAGCAAGTTTAAAAGACTTTGTAAGCAGGGCTAAAATGAGCCAGATGTTTGCTCCAGGCTTCGGGATGACAGCCACTGGTTGACAGCGTTTAAAACTGCTCTGAAATATACAGATTTACAAAAGGAGCTTGCATGGGTCATGCGGATAAAGGACATCCTATGTTCTCAAGTGATGCCTCACATCAAGAGAATCAATGCAATAGCTCGATCTCCAGCTCTGATATTCTGTAATAGTTAATATTCTATTCTTGCGAAAGAGTAGAGTTTCTCTTTCCTTTTAACAAAATTGAAGAAAGTTAGAGTCATTTTGTAAGACGCATTTTGATTTCAGTAACCAAAACTCAAATAGCTTTAAGAAAACGTACCAGCCTATCATACCTGAATTGTTAGTATTATTTAAATTAAAACTGTGGGTGCATAGTTTCAAAGGCAAGAAGCCCTCTGCATTAAAAAGAACAAATAAATTAATAAAACTGTATCAAACTAACTACCTAAATATCAGTCTGACTCCAAAATGCCAACAGTAATTTTGTCATACTTGCTGAAGGCCTAAAGAAACCTTTTCCTTACATCTCAGGCTAATATTTGCTTTCTCTCGTCTTCTTTAAGTACCTCGTTTACTTTTTTTTATTCTAATAACTCCCTCCCGCATCTCAACAGTGAGTCTAAATAAGCTCAGAGTAATTAGATTTTTCATTTTTCTTTACTTCCAAGTGCGGACACTTGTTCTGTCTCTCCACGTTACATGAGTTTTCAAGACAAACTAACATTAGCATGCCAAAACACTAAACACATAGCATCCAGAGCGACGGCTACCCCATGATATACCCCATATCCAAAGGCTTCCATAATGATATAGCCACTCAGACCAGTCCTCTCTGAGCAGCATTCCACAGAAATGAATTATGCAAGTTTCAGTACTGAAAAACTTCCCAGATTAGCAAGATAAATTCCCCAGACAGCTACCAGATGTCTCCTGTATACTTTGAAAACTCAGTAAGGCTCCTCCACGAATCTTACTTCTAATAGCAGGATCAGAGAGATCACTACCACTCTTGGAGGCGGTACCTGAAGGTCATTTAGGAATAAGTCATCAGCCTTTGTTATTCATTGTCTGGTATTTCAAGACTCTACAAATACATCTAGTCTAATTGCTAACAGCAAATTATACCAGCTTGCAGAATCAAAATGACCATACCGGTCCACTTAAGAAATCCAAAGACTTAAGAAGCTTAATATATTTCAGTATATTAATATCTAGTCCTTTGCAGTTATTTAAGATAGATCATTATCCAAATTATACAGAGCTACTACCATGCAGTGCAGATGATCTACTAAATTTGCCTAAAGATATAGGACAAACAGTGACACGTGATCTGCACGCATATTTCGCCAACAACCAATACACAGCCAGTTCGCTCACACAAGAAAATTTTCTCGTTAACAGCAACCAATGGGGAAACATGCAGATTCTCCCCGGCTTCAAGCTACCAGACAGAGAAGCAGAGGAGAACATTTCCTCATTTTCATTAACATCACTTGAATACTGCTGCAAGAGCTTATCACTCAAAAATATTAAAAGGAACAGAGGGCAGCTGTGAATCATCTAGATCGTCCTCCTTAGACTTTACAGGTAAATACAAAGCTGTTTCCATGCAGCAGTCGTCTTCTCAAGATAGACACCAAAAGTCTAACTGGTAACAGAGTTCAACCACCGCGTGACAACCCAGTAGACAGAGCTACTTAGATCTTTCAAATTTTTTGTACAGAATTCTTCCTGAATTGTTCTGTGGTAAACTGCAGTTACTTAAAAAAAAAAAAAAAAACACACCACACACACACACACACACACCTCTGTAGCATACAAAATGCAACATTTCCAATCCAGTTTAGCTGCATTAGAAAAACAAAAACTGAGAATCAAGGAAAGGAAAAATCTGTCAAGGAGCAATTTTAAGCCTTTATGAACTGCTTGAAGGGGATGTTGTTTCTAGAGAAATCTGAAATTGATTTTTCTGTGAAAACATTCATCTGCTGCGAAACACTGACATGTCAAGGCACGTCCATGACATACCCAGCGGTGTAAAACCAGAATGAATAACTACCTTCGCTCTCACCTTACTCACCTTTTGGTCAAATGCTTGCCATCTTTTATACTCATCTTCCTGTGCAGTCCTCTCTATTTTCTACAATCTCACAACTATGCTTTGTAGTTCACTTTTAAGGTGCTATTCACCCCAAATAAAACAAAGCAGTTATTCATTTTGCCAGTCACTCTCATATTTGCCTTAACTTACAATCATCTCTACTCTTGAGAAAGAGCTTAATGTGACATTGTTGGAACATTATTCAAAACGCTGCTCTACGTACCTTCCCCTGTTGCATTGAACAGTCCACACATCCCACTTGAATGTTTCCATGTTTTGCTCCAGGGATTATCTGTAACCTTTCAAAGTCAGTTCCCAGTACCACAATATCACATCCTGATGCATATGCCTAGGAGAGAAGGGGAAAAAAAAAAAAAAAAAGTGAGTAAAGCTACAGTTACCTACAACCACCCAATGAAGAACAAACTAGCGCAGTCCATGTATCTCATCCATGTAGACCACCACAGACAGAGAGAGAGATTTCCAGAGCTCAAACGTCTCCCAACAAGTCTACAACT